ATGCCCAGAGCTCACACATTCTGGTATGTGTAGCTTCATAGCTTGCCCTGGGATCCCATCTCTGCCTGTCATTAACTGGTTTGCCAAGTGGTCCCCTCACCTTCCTGGCTTTGTGGGCTCTGGAGATCTGAGCTGCAGTCTTCACACTTGTGTGCCAAGTTCTTCATCCAACAGCCATCTCCCCAGCCCTTCACGGGCTTCTTAAACTGATGGATGCAATGATAGGAAGTCTCTTACAAGAGCTGGATTCTACCATCCAGGAGCTGTCTGCTGAGGGCCTGTATATAGATGGTGACACTCAGTCTAGCAAGATGGCCATAAGAGTCTGCTAACGGGTAATGTATTTAGATATAGGATAGGGACAAACACTCACTGATACAGATCAGTGATACAGATCATTGATACTGATGAGATGACACTGCCGATCCAGCTGCCTTCATCCAGTCGTTTCATCCAGTCGTTCTGCCCAGGAGTGAAGAGCGCAGGCAGCAAGCTGCCTGCTCCCAAGAGAGCAAGAGAGCTGTGACCCCCCTGCTTTTAAGTTGTCACATCTGTCCACAGCCAAGAAGCCACGCCCTAAGGCTGGTGCCCCAAGGCTATTGGCGGAATGAGTTTCCACAACAACTCAACTGACTTGTCTAATGCACAGGAAACCCTGAGTACAAACCTGTGATCCCAGCTCTGGGGAGGTGGGGACAGAGCAATAGAAGTTTAAGCTCATCCCCCAGGTCTTCAGCTACAAATGGAGTTACACACAAGTCTGGACCATGCGATACTCTGTTGCAACTTGGAAATGGGGTTTGAGCGGGATCCTGACAAGAAGGCTTAGCCGTTAAGGGAACTTGCTGCCTAGAAAACCAGTTTATGAGGGATTGGGGATGGATTCCAGGGAATCGCGCTAAGGTGTACTCTACCAACTGAATCACATCCCCAGCCATGCTCTGCCTCTGAAGGTCCCGTCCCACTGTGAGCACTGCCCTCTGCAGTCACCAGAAGACCCAGGTTCATCTTCCTAATTTCCTTTAAGTGAAGTTCTCACACAGATCCCCCCCCCCCCCCCCCCCCCCCCCCCCCGCGTTTTCTCTTTTGGTTTCAAACTTGGAAAGCTTCTTTACCCGTTTAGATAAACCTTGCAGCAAGTCTAATCTATTCTTAAACTCTTGAGCTTTTCACGTTTGATCTAATTCAAAAGCCCTTTGACTGCCAGGAATCACATAGGGTGTTGACGGTGACTCTGCCTGGTTGGTGAGATGGGATTATTCATAATGCTTTGGTTTCTTTTAGCTATTGTTTTTAGAACTGAAGACCAGATGTTTGCTTAATAGAAAATTCACCAACACCCTTGATTGCCCAGTGAACCACACAGCTCAGAACAGGCCTGGGAGGGATGGGAACTCAGGCCATGGACAGTGTGGCTACATGCTCATTCTCCTGGACCCCATTCCTTCCCGGTTAAAGGAGAGAGCAAGGGGCTGGGATTAGCTCAGTCAGTAAAGGTGTTAACCCTGTAAGCATGAAGACCTGATTATCTCCTTAGAGCCCATTAGTAAATCCAGAGTGTGATAGAACTCCCTCTATATATTTACTTTACAAAATTTTAAATTGCATTAAAAAAGTTGTACCTTTATTTTATGTGTATGGTGTTGTGCCAACATGTATGTCTGTGTACAACATACATATGTGGTTTAAGGGGGAGGGGAGACACAGACAGTTGTGGGCTCCATGTGAGTACTGGGAATCAAACCCTGGTCTTCTGGGAGAGCAGTCAGGGCTCTTGACCACTGCAGCCCTTAAATTACATTTACTGATTTAAGTGGGGAGGGGCACACTCCACACTGGAGGTCAGAGAACAACTTGTAGGAGTCTCTTCTTCTACCTTGTGGGTCCTAGAGACAGAATTCAGCCATTAGGCTTGTTGACTGATGCCTTTCACACTGAGCCATCTGGTCTACCCTGTCATCAATCTCCTTTGCATGAAGAAACTGAAGCCAAAGCCCCTTTCCCATCAGATTCACACCCTGGGGTGGGGGCTCTTCTGAACTGCACTTTTCCATCATGAATCTCAATTAGATGGCCCTTACCTCCAACTGGGCAAGCCCCAACCAACCCTTCAGCACCTGCCTTGAAAGGGAAAGAATTGGTGAGGTATTGGAAATGTCATGATGCCTGGTGGGCACCAGACAGATGCCGGTCTGCCCATCCTTCGGCTGGTGCACCCTGACGCCTAGCTGCCTTCCCCTGTCCCCTGCAGCCCAGGCTCTCTTCATGCTCCTTTCTTTGAGATGGGCCATCAGTCCAGCCTTTAACTTAAAATGGCCTTGAACTCCAATCCTTCTGCTTCTACCAAGTGCTAGGACTACAGGTGTGCCCCCACACCTGGTTGAGGATGGAACCCAGGCGGCCTTAGTACATTCTAGGCAAGCTTTCTAGCAATTGAACTACAGCTCTGGCCCCTTCTTATTTTTCTTATTTCAGTGCTAGGAACCAAGCACAGAGTTTTGCTTATTTCAAAATGTATTTTTATTGTGTTTATGTGTGTGCTGGCACTGAGCAAGGGTGTGACATGACACCCTTGTGGAGGTCAGAGGACAACTCTCAGGATTGGTTTTCTCTTCCACTGTGGGTTGTGGAGACCAAATTCAAGCCACTGGGTTTGTGTGGCAAGCACTTTCACCTGCTGAGCCGCCCCACCACAGCCCACACCCTGTGAACCCCAAGAGACCGAGTTCTAGCCCAGATCCGTTTCCCAAGAACCCTTTCCTGGGATCCCATTTGCCCTGGTATCAAGAAAACAGTAGAGGGTGGAAGGTTTACTGAGTGGGAGGCTCCATCCAACGTTAGCTACAGGGAAGTTTGTAGCAGTGAGACTTTGTGGAGATTGGCGAGTTCCGGTCACCCATGTTCCCACAATTAGCCCCTCACTAACGCTCTGTGAAGTAGCCCAATACACCCATTGCCCCCCCCCATGTTGAGTTTAGAATCTGCTTTGGTTTGTCACAGGAATCCTGTTGGTAGCAAGCAGCTGCTTCTAACCCCCCATCCCCACCCCCACCCAGGGGAAGGGTTCACAAATCAGCTGCTATACTGGGGCATCACCATTGTCCACTTCCCAGTGTCTAGGCTCCAGGAGGGCACAGACCCATGACCCCCCCCCCTTCACCCCTGCACACAGCTAGGGGTCTATGCATGTTTTACCAGGAAGCCATTCTACTTAAGACCGGGGCATATAGAATTGAACAGGAAAGGGATTGTGGGAAACAGATCAGGGCTTGAACCCCTGCCTCTTCCTGCTCACAGGTTCACATATTTGGTTGGCTGGGGCTTTTTGTTGTTGTTGTTGTTTAGTATTGTTTTTGTTTTAAGAAAAGGTCTCACAGATGGGTGGGTGGGGGAGGTGCACACCTTTAATCCTGGCAGAGGCAGGTGGATCTCTGACTTCGAGGCCTGCCTGATCTACAGAGTGAGTCCCAGGGCAGCCAGGGTTACACAGAAAACCCCTGCCTTGGAAAACTACAAAACAAAACAGAAAGAAGAAAAAGATGGAAGAGTCTCTGTGTAGATCCTGGCTGGCCTAGACCTCACAGATGCCCTCCTGCCTCTGTCTCCCGTTTTTTGTTTGTTTGTTTTTTTTTAAAGAAGTCTCTTGTAGCCCAGGCTAGCCTCTAATTCCCTACATGGCTGAGGATGACCTTCAAGGCCTGATTTCCCCCTAGCTCTGCCTCCCAGTGCTGGGATCACTAATTTCACTGCAGAGCACGCAGAGTTGATTTAGTGTGTGTTTTGAGGCCTTGGGTTTAAGATAAGATTTGCTTGGGTGGGGAGTTGGGTTTCAAGCTTGAAAGTAAACACCTGTACTGACCACGGCTCCAGGGACTTTCCCGAAGCTGCCCAGCCCCTTCCCACGGGCGGCCCATCTGGAGCCTCTCCTCAAGGCAAGGTCCAGGTACGGAGTCAGGCCTCTGCCCACCGCCTTCCCATCTCTCACTGTCACACTTACACACAGGTGTGCCCTCACATTTGTGAACACACACAATCATAAAATCTGGGAACCCTTCGGATTAGAGGGTTCTTCATCACCTTAGGACAGCATCCTAACTGCTGGAGTTACAGGAGCTACCGCACCTTCCTTACTATGCCCTTACACCTGAGTGCACCCCAGGACAGTTCTCCAAGCAGGAGTTTTTTGTTCTAGACTCCACAGATGGAAGCCGTTCGGCTCAGCTGAGATCGGGTGCCGGCTCAGCTGAGATCGGGTGCCGTCACATCCTGACACAAGGCACAGTAGCCAGGACCAGTAGCTCTGCCACAGCCCTGGCCCACTTGAGGACTGTAGTGACTACTTAGGATTTTAGAACTCGGTCACTAAGCAGAGGAAGGGAACTTGCGGGTTGGAGGCCATCAGGGCTGGGAAGTGATAAGAACCCACCCCATGCCCTGTTTCCTTTTGTGGAGGCATCTCTGTTCTCACACAGAGATGCCTTGTTGCAGTTTATCAGGTCAGTTACTTTCACAGTGGCTACACTTTAATATCCTCAATTGATCTGAGATATGGCTGAGCCTGGTTACGGTTTCCAAACCCCATCTTGTGTCTTTCCACATTTCCCCCAGAATATCTGTCCCACTTATGACAATGCGCCAAGATAGGCTGGTTCTCACTGGATTCAAGGAGTGTTTGCCTTTTGAGACAGGGTCCCCTGTCTCCATGGCTGCCCTCTGCTCTCTGTAGCTAAGGGTGACCCTGAAATTCTGCTCTTTCTAACGCCACCCTCTAAGTGCTGAGATGGCAGGCTTGTGCCAGCACACCTGGTTTAAGCAGTGCTGGGGATCGAACCCAGGGCTGTGTGCACAGTACCCATGCACATACCACTCACCTCTAGCTGACTCCAGAGGTCTCGGGACCAAAACGCAAGACTTCTGCATTTCGGTCAACTGCTTTTCCTCTTCCAAAGTGAGCTTACATTTTTTCCCCTTTGTTTTGCTCTTTCGTGGTCTCCTCACAGGGGATCAGCTGTTGCAAAAATCATTGGGAACAATGTAAAGAACCTGCAGAAGTTCGCCTCCACGGTCAAGATGTGGGTCTTCGAAGAGACCGTCAATGGGAGGAAGCTGACAGACATCATTAACAATGACCACGAAAACGTGAAATATCTCCCCGGACACAAGCTGCCAGAAAATGTGGTAAGACATGGCGTGCAGGGGGCAAATGCTGTTCATTCTCCAGGCTGTGATCGTCTGAGTGACACCCGGACCTAGATGAGGCAAAGCAACCTCCTTCCCCTCCACCCCACCCTCCACCCCTGCGTCTCTCTTGTCGCTTGATTGGCTCTGCTTTTTCTTGGGTTCTGGTTGGTTTGTTCTTTGAGACAGGGTCTGTGTTTCTCCTGCGGAACTATTGTTACTGCCATTGAAAGTCTGTTCCCGTGTGTGCTTCAAGTTCAGAAGAGGGCACTGGATCCCTTGGAGCTGGAGTTACAGGAGGTTGTGAAGCACCTGATGTCAGTCCTCTTACAAGGACAACTGTATTGAATTGGAGCCCTCCCCACGAACTGTCTCATTGGTTAATTAACATGTTTTTCAGAGTTTTAGTCCTTCCTCCCACCCAAGACAAGCATGCATGTGGCTCAGGCTGGCGTCAGAACATATGACACTGAACTTCTGGTCTTCCTGCTGTCACCTCCTAAATGCTAACACTGCAGCTTTAGGTCATGCAGTGCTGTGAATCGAACCCAGGGCCTCAGGGGCGGGGGAGTTAGGAGGCTGAGAGAGCATCTAGGAGGCCTGGCTGGTTCCTTCCCCTCTGGGGGCCGGGCACCTCCCTGTCACCTCCCTTTCTTTACTTGTTCTTGCTCCCTCCATGCCTGTATCTCTGGCTCTAGGGACCCCGAGTACCTGCCATGGTTTCCCTTTTTATTTTAAGGTGTGACCTCCCTAGGTTGCCCAGGCGGACCTCGAACTCGAGATCCTCCTGCCTCACCCCTCTGAGTAGCTGAGATTGTAAGTCAGTTTACCACTGGGGAATATGAATCTGTCGGGGTGGGGGGGTCAGAAGCAAGAGCCTGTGTGTTGCATGAACGGAGGAAGCATCGGGCATCAAATAAGACAGCCGGGTGCCCGTGCTGACCCCCCCCCAGACAGCCGGGCGCCCGTGCTGACCCCCCCCCCCAGACACACACAAAGTCGAGGAGGAAAGGCCCGCTCCAGGGCTCTGTTAATGTGTTAATGGCTTGCAGTTGTATCCACATGAACATTTGCTCTCTGGAGTGGACACTTATGTGATCTCTGTTCTAGAAGGTACCCAGGCAGTACTGGAACCTCAAGGTCACAACACATGTATGGCCCTGTCTTCCGTCTCCCCTCTTGGCCCGCCCCCTCTCTCTCCCTCTCTCTCTCCTCTGGCTTCTATAACCACCTCAAGGCTCATTTTAAGCACATGTCTCCTTGTGAGTTGAAAAGGAAGTCATACACCAGACTGCCGGCTTGACTTTTTTTTTTTTTGTGAGTTCCTCCGTACAATAGCCCAGGCTGGCCTAGAACTCACAAGATCCACCTGCCTCTGCCTCCTGGGTGCTGGGATTAAAGATGTGCACCACCAAAGCCTAGCTCTAATCTTCCTTTTAACTAAACTTTTTTATTTATTTTTTAAAGGTTTTATGTGTGTGGGTGTTTTGGGGCATGTATGTCTGTGCACCACATGCATGCCTGGTGCCCACGGAGGCCAGCAGAGGGCGCTGGATCCCCTGGAACTGGAATTAGAAATGGTTGTGAGCCACCATGTGGGTGCTGAGAATCGAACCCTGGTCCTCTGTAGGAGCAGCAGAAACTGTTGAGCCATCTCTCTAGCACCCTCCATACTAGGTCCCATGTAGTCCAGGGTTGCCTGAATTTGTATGGAGCTGAGGGTGATTCCACACGGAATCTTCCTGCCTGCACCTCCCCAGCCCGCCACCCCTGGTTTATGTGGTACCGGGGATCAAACCCAGGCCTTCTGACGTCATGGCAAGGCTCTGTACTAACTGAGCCCCTTAGCTGGCCCAGAACTGCTGTGTATGTCTGCCAGTGAGGCAGGCTGTGCCTGCCTTCAGAGTCCAAGTCTACCTTGCACAGATCCTAGCATACTGCACACCTCTCGCTGCCAAGGGCTCCGCTCAGGAACCTTCTGTGACAGGGACTGTCCACTACCATCTTCACTCTAGCTCACTAAAAGCTGGCTGGTCTGGGGGTGAATGGAGAGGACACTTGTCATTTCCTGTCATTGCAAGAACAGTGGTCGATCTGGCTTCATGGGGAACTCTTGTTTGGAGCTCAGCCGGGTGAAAGCTCTTCTGCTTTCACACGCTTGCTTCAGCTGGCCCCGGTGTGACTTGGGAGCTACTGATTGCAGCACGCTGTGGGATTGTTTTTCATTGTGTCGCTCATCTTTGTCTGCTGAGGTCTGCCAGTTTAAAAAAAAAAAAAAAAACAAAAGAAACACTGTTCTCATTAAGATTAAAAATCCATCTGTCTGTACTTATCAGTGGGGTTTTAGTTTGGTTTGGTTTTTGACCTTTTGACCTTGTGTAGCCCAGGATAGCCTCCAAATTGCTATGTGAACAAAGATAACTTTGGACTTCTGATCCTTGTGCTAACATTTTGGTAGCCAGGATTAAAGAGAGGCCGAGGGAGGAGGATGGGCCTAGGCTACGTGGTGACTTCCAGGGCAGCCTGGTCAACAAAGGGCAACCCTGTCTGGACAAAAACAGTAATAAGAACGATAGGGCAGGGGAGATGGCCCAGTGGGTAAAGGCATCTGCCTGCCTGATGACCTGCATTTGACCCCCAGTACTTACACAGAGCTGCAGAGACCTGAGCTGCCTGTTCTCTGACCTCCACATGCATGCCACAGCATGTACACACACACACGCACACACACTCACCACTTAATTGAAAGGCCATGCCAGGGTCCCCTTCCTGGAAGGATGGGGACGGAGATGGCAGTACTTCATGGCAATGTGCCTTCTGAAGGGGTGAGGGTGTGGGCCGGCTGCACTTGAGCGGGAGTTATCTCTCTTCCCACTTTGTTGCAGGTCGCTGTCCCGAATCTCAGCGAGGCTGTGCAGGATGCAGACCTGCTGGTGTTTGTCATCCCCCACCAGTTTATTCACAAGATCTGCGACGAGATCACGGGCAGGGTACCCAAGAAGGCCCTGGGCATCACGCTCATCAAGGTAATACACACAAAGAGCAGACTGGAGGGGGCAGGTCCTGGGGCCCTGGTTCCTCCAGAGTTCATGTCCTCTTTCCTCTCCTTCAGAGGGTCTGGGGACCCGATGCCCTCTTCTGGCCTTCTTGGGAATTGCACACACATGGTGACATACATGCAGGCCTATACGCAATGAAAAATTCATTAGTAAAAGAAAATTGAGTGAGGTGTTGACAGCATTGAGGATGGCTGTTCTGTAAAATGGGAGAAGGATGGGGAGAAGAGGAGGAACCTGGGGAGAGGACTCCCCTACCTTCTATGGGAGGGGCCAATGAAGGAGCTAGCCAAGGTTTATTAAGTGTGTGTGTGTGTGTGTGTGTAAAGTATGGGTGAGTGTGTAAGTATGGGTGAGTGTGTAAGTATGGGTGTGTATACATGAGTGCAGGTGCCTTCACAGGCCAGAGGCATCGGGTCCCCCCGGGAGGTGAAACCGAGCACAGATCTATCTCCCCACCCTAGAGACAAGAATCTGTCTCATTCCAATTGGGCCTTCGGACGTGACGCCAGCTTGTGATAGGTTCCACACTTTGTGCAGCCAGAGACAAAGCACAGTTGTCCCCTTCACATGTGCTGCCCACTCCTCACTTGTTGGTGATGGAGGGGACTAAATTGGGGAGGTGTCTGACGTGACCTTGGGGGTAGCGTTTGCTATGGGGCCATCCCTTCTGTGTGACCATCAGGATCTCTCTTGCCATCCCAGTAGCCTGCGCCTTAGGAGCCTCTAGGAACCCTGGAAGGTGCCCCTGGGCCTGTGTGCTCTTAGAGCGCCCATTCGGCAAAGTAACCTCATGCACCTCGTAGAGGGTCTCAGCAAACACGGTGGCCACAAGAGTGTCAATTCTCAAGAGACGAGGCCGTCTGGTTCAACATGACTCAGTAGCCAGTCTTGCTTCAGACTTTGAGACTCTGACCCCAAGTTGTTTATTTTAGGCATATTTGAGCACAGCCCAATTTGGTGAATAAATTTCCTGGCAGTACTTAACTCAATCCTATGTACACAATAATAGGCCTAAGATGTGAGTACATCAAAACCTATTGTAAAGTACGTGAGACTTTTTCCACAAAGGCGGGCTCTGTAGATTGAGGAAAACAAACTCATCACAAGGCCTGCGGGGGGGGGTCTGGTGTGGTCTCATCACACAGATCGTGCAAAGGTCACCGAGCTGTTAACCACATCTGCTCCCAGCTCCGGACAGGAAACAGGTCCTGTCTCTCTCGCTTTGATGAGACAACCCCGTGAGTTCTCATCCCTAGTTCCTAGTGCTCCTCCGTGAGCGCGTCCGAGCCCCCCACACCATCTTACCCCAGATGAGTTGCTGAGACAGAGTCTCACTCCGTATCCCACGCTGGCCTTGAACTCAGAGCAGTCCTCCTGCCTCAGCTGGATTTCAGGTACGGTGGAATTGCGCCTCTTGCCTCTTTGACTTGCAGCGCCCGCTGACTCCTCTGCATCCTTCCAGGGCATAGATGAGGGCCCTGAAGGGCTGAAGCTCATCTCCGACATCATCAGAGAGAAGATGGGCATTGACATCAGTGTGCTGATGGGGGCCAACATCGCCAGTGAGGTGGCTGCGGAGAAGTTCTGTGAGACCACCATTGGTGAGGCTGCCGAGGGGCCTGGCAGTGCTGGGGGCTAGCCTGAATCATTCCACTTGTTCCCCGGCAAGCAGGAGGACCTGAGTTCAGATCCCTAGTGCCCATGAAAAAAGCAGGCACAGAATCAGGTGTCTGTGATCCCAGGACGGTCACAGGAGGATCCCAAGGGCCTGCTGGCCTAGCCAGTCAGTGAGCTCCAGGATCCACAAGAGACCCTAATTCTAAAAAAGCTGAGATGGCTCAGCTCTTATTGCTATTATAGGAGAGCCAGGTTCAGTTCCCAGCATCTACATGGAGGCCCAGAAATGCCTATAATTGCTGGGCAGTGGTGGCGCACACCTTCAGTCCCAGCACTGGGGAGGCAGAGGCAGGCAGATCTCTGTGAGTTTGAGGCCAGCCTGGTCTACAGAGTGAGTTCCAGGACAGGCTCCAAAGCTACACAGAGAAACCCTGTCTCAAAGAAAAAGAAAAGGTGGAGGGAGGGTGGGTGGGTGATGCCTGTAACTTCGATCCCAGGGGATCCAATGCTCTATCTGAGTCTCCATGGACACTAGGCACATACATACATGTAGGCAAAACATCCATACACGCTGGGTGTTGGTGGCACACGCCTTTAACCCCAGCACTCAGGAGGCAGAGGCAGGTGGATCTCTGTGAGTTCGAGGCCAGCCTGGGCTCAGAGCGAGTTCCAGGACAGCTTCTAAAGCAATACAGAGAAACCCTGTCTCAAAAACAAACAAAACAAAACAAAAAAATCCATACACATACATATAAAATAAAGCAAATGAAATTTTTTTAAAGGTGAAAAGTCATTGTGAAAGTCAATACCCAGTATTGACTTCTGGCTTCCATACCTTTAGAGATTTACTTTTATCTATATGTATGTGGAAATATAGTATGCAGGTAATACAGCTGCCCTAGAAGCCAGATGTGTGAGATACCCCTGGAGCTGGATTTAGGGGCAATTATAAACCACCTGACATGGATACTTGGAATTGAACTGAGCCACCCCTTTAGCTCTCTGTGAGGTGCTGGGCCCTGGGTATATACATGCTCTACCAGTGAGCTCTGTCTCCAGCCTCTGAGTCTCTCGATTGATGGCATTAAGGACCAGCACATGTTTGAATCTAGAGTATCTGCTAGTTTGTGAATTCTATGGGGGTGGGGGGGGTCTGCATTATTCAGAGGACCAGAGGGCAATGTTGTCATAGTGTGCGATGCTGCCCCCTTGTGGAGCACATGCTTTCTGCTCCTGAGTTTGCAAAACCAGTGTGCTTTCTAAAGCAAATGATTCCATATTTACTCAAGGAAGTCCTGCAAGGGCCACACACCCTAGATAACTAACATATATGTAATCTGAAAAATAACATGGAATGGGAAGGGCAACTACCCGCGTCTGGCCTCCATGCAAGCTCCTTACACAGACAGGTTACACAATCACACTCATATTCACAGTCTTACACACACACACACACACACACACACACACACACACACACACCAGCAAATGTCAGCTGACTTCATCCCCTAGGGAGGGGATTTGCCTAGCCCTCTCCCCGCCTCCTCCACTCCCCCCAACCTTCCCCCAGCACCCCACCAGTCTGAGCAGATTTCACTTGGGGCACTATGGGGAAGGTTTTACTTTGGTTTGTTTTGCCTTTGTTGCTATTGTGGTTTGGTGTTTTTTAAAGCAGTTTCTCTACATAGCCCAGGCTAACCTGGAGCTCATGGCTTCTGTCACCGTCACAGACTAGGGTTACATGTAACACATGGATCGCCAGGACCGATTTCTGATGGTTTGCCTTGTTTTACTGTTTGAGGCAAGGTCTCACTGTGTAGACCAGGCTGGCCTAAAACGCACAGACATCCACCCGTCTCTGCCTTCCAACTTCTGTATTAAAGTCATCATACATGACTCTGTTCCTATTTGTATTAGTTGGGATTCTCTAGAGTCACAGAATTTATGAATGAAGGACAGGCTGCAGTTCAACAGTGGCTAGTTGTGAATGGGAAGTAGTTGCTCAGCCCTATGTGTGGATGGGGGTGGGGGGGTCCCAGCTGGTCTGACAGGGCCCTGAAGAGTGAGTGGATTTGCTGACAAGGCAGATTCTAAAACACACACAGATCTTCCATTCTGTCTCAAGAAAACCTATCATGTTTAATAAATTTAAAATGCGTGTCAAATGTACTTATACACAGTAAACTAAGAATAGCTGCTGAATTGTAAATAATTCATTCTAGTATTAGGGATAACTAAATTTTCTTTTTCTTTTTTTTCCATGATTAATTATTACCGTGCAGGGTGGGGTGTTTGTGCCAAGGACACCCATGGAGGTCAGAGGATGACTGGAATAGGCTCTCCCCTTCCTCCTTTACATGGAGAGAACTCACACCACCGGCCTTTTACAACAAGCACATTTACCCACAGTTGTTTTTGGTTTTTGAGACAAGGTGTTAATATGGCATAGGCTGGCCTTGAACTCCCAGATTCTTTGCCTAAACTTCCCAAGTGCTAGGCAAGGGATGTCATTAATTTTGTGCCTCTGTTATCTGAACTGAAGTTTACCCTAGAAAAGCGGCTCCTGTGTTATAAATTCAGCCAGGCCGATCGACTTGATTGAATATTGCTATTGTAGAGATTTAGGGTGTTGTAGGTCCAATTATCTCAGTCTGTCTTTAGCCCCCCATTATAGCCATGTATTAGGCATCCCGATACCCCGTGTGTCTGCTCTAACATCCTGTGACCCAGGTAACCTCTGGGGGTGTATCAGCTTCACAGACCATTGGCATCGACCAACCCAGAAGCTAAGATGTCACCAGGTAGTGTCTGAAGCCTGTGACAAGGCGTTCTTTACCCTGCTGTAACCCCCCCCCCCCCCAATGCTCCCACAAGAGCATTTGAGAAGTGCCTTGATTCTTGACTTTCCTCTGTTCTGGAACTCATAAGACTGTTAACATGTGGGACATGGCATTTGGGGCAGCCTGAATCTGTGTCTTGGCCATGGTCATTCATTTGAAACTCTCATTCACTCAGAGGTGAGAGCTATGGTTTTGTGTGTGTGTGTGTGTGCGCGTGTGTAGAGCCCATGTTCCTTTTGTAGTAAAAGTTTACACTTTAACCTCTGCTAGGTGTAAAAGCGGACACAGGACACATCGCTAACCTCCCGCTCCCCTCACCCTCTAACAGGCAGCAAAGTGATGCAGAATGGCCTTCTCTTCAAAGAGCTGCTGCAGACGCCCAACTTCCGAATCACCGTGGTAGACGATGCCGACACCGTGGAGCTCTGTGGTGCTCTAAAGGTAAAGTCAGCCTTGGCATCCCAGCCAGGGAGGAGGTGTCAGGCTAGCCAGTGCTGGTGGTCTGAGGCCGAGAGTGGGCTCTGTGTGCTGGTTGGTTGGTTCATCTGTGTGTGCATGTGCACGGGTGTGCATGCAGAAAGTCGGGACATCTCCAGTGTGCATCCTTAACTCCACCTAATTTGAGACAAGGCTCTCTCTGCCATTCCCTTTGGGTACGGCAGGGCCCACAGCCTTCTGGGGTTCCCCTTTCAGGCTGGGGTTACAGATGTGTCCTGCTGTGTCCAGTTGCTGGGGTGCTGGGGGTTGAGTCGGGTTGTCAGGCTTGCATGACAAATGCTTTAGCCATTGAGCCATCTCCCCAGCCGTGACCCTGCTCCTGTGAAAAATAGCACGTTTTGTCTTAGCTTCCTAATTTTCCCCTTTCCTAGATGGCAGGCTCTGTCTTGTTACCTTTATTTATAAATGTCAGTGAACCGTGATTTTTTTTAAAAATTGTTTTTAGATTACTTTTATTTGTGTGCATGTTTGCTTGCATGTATATACAAGTACTGCATGCATACTGGTGCCACAGAGGTCAGAAGTGGGCACTGGGTCTCCTAGAACTGGCGTTACAGATGGTTGTGAGTTGTCACGGGGTGCCGGGAACTAACCCTGTGTGAGAGCAGCTGCTCTGAAGCGCTGAGTCATCGTCTCTTTAGCCCCCAATTGTTTGTTTTCTGAAAAACTGTTATTTAAGAGTCTATTCTTATTTGTGTGTGTGTGTGTGTGTGTGTGTGTGTCAGTCTGAGCATGGACACGTGTTACTCTGATGCCCAGAAGAAGCCAGAAGAAGGCATTAGATCCTCAGGAACTGGAGTTCCAGGCAGTTGTGCGGCACCTGACATGGGTGATGGGAATCAAACTCTGGTCCTTTGGAAAGACAGCCCGTGCTCTTAACCACTGAGCCATCTCCAGCCCCCATTATATTCATTTTTACTTACATGCATACATGTATGTCTGTCCATTTGTCTGTGTACCACATGCATACAGAGACCAGAAGAGGGCACTGGATGCACTGGAGCTACAGTATAGGAAGAAGGTTGCAGGCTGCTGTGTGGGTGCTGGGAATGGGCCCTGGGTCCTCTGCCAAAGCAGCCAGTGCTCTAAACCTTGGGCTCGCTCTCCGGCTCCAGTGTCTTGCTCTCTGAGGTGATTGCGTGGCAGGCACTTACGTTTGGCTTCTCTAGGGTCTCTCTGTTCTCCTTCCTCACCCAGACGTTATCTTGAGTGGAACTGGTTAGCTCTCACTCCACCCCACTCATCCCCTTTCCTGAGGAAGAGTCATCTCCTGCTGACAGGGGTTTTTTTATTATTATTATTATTTGTTTTGTTTTTTCCCAAAGAATAGTTTATCTTTGTTCGCTAGAGTGAAAAGAAACAGTTTCTATTGACCAGTGACCAAGGATTGTCAGGAGACCAAAAAAAAAAAAAAAAAAAAAAAATCACAACAAATTTATTTTCTTGGTCAATCGGCCTTTAGCCGGAAGCGTGCAGAAGGCCGCTTGCATCTGCCAGAGAGAACTATGTCCTGTCAACAGGGCAGGTCTGAGGAATCTGTAAAGCGACAACACTTGGAAACGGAGTAATGGAGAAACCGATCAAAAGCGGAAGGTTATTTAGTTACTTCAAAACTGATGCAGTGTTTTCCTGGGTCCTTTGTTTTTTGAGATTGCGTTCCAACTCTGTGTAGCTGAGGATGACCTTGAATTTATGATCCTCCTGCCTCCATCTTCTAAGCACCGAGATTGCAGATTCGTGCACACACCTAGCTCAGGTGGTGGTAATGACCAAACCCGGGCTTCGTGCCGGCCAGGCAAACACTGCCAGCTGAGCCACACCCCTAGCCCTCTGTTTTTGGTTGAGCAGGGGCCTTCCCCAAGTTCCAGGCAGGCACTTCGCCTCTGAGGCACACCCCCAGCTGTTCTAGGTTTTATTTTGAAACAGCATCTAACTAAAATGTCCAGAGTGGCTTTCAACTTTTTATGTAGCCCAGACTGCCGTGGGACCCACTCTGTCCCTTACTCTGTCCCTTACTCTGTCCCTGTGTTGACTGCGCGTCTGTGCCCAGCACTTTCTGTCAGCATAGACTCCTGCTTCCAGGAAAAGCTCCGGGACCGGTGACCTCCTGGTGGGTCCGTCTGATGATGTGGCACTTGGTGATAGTGACTCCATTCCGTCCAGTCTGGCCTGTGGGGTCTCAGGTCAAAGTGCCGGCCAGAGCAATGGTTTCCCATCACCTTAGTTAAGAATAGGTCTTTAGGGGCTGGAGAGATGGCTCAGAGGTCAAGAGCACTGACTGCTTGCTCTTCCAGGGGTCCTAAGTTCAAGTCCCAGAAGTCACATAGTGGCTCACAACCATCTACAATGAGATCTGGTTACTTCTTCTGGCATGCAGGCATTCATGTAGGCAGACCACTATATACATAATAAATAAATCAACTTTAAAAAATTTAAAAGAGAATAGGTCTTTAATCCCGGCAGGCAGATCTCTGGGTTTGAGGCCAGCCTGGTCTATAGAGTGAATTCCAGAACAGCCAGGGCTACACAGAGGAACCCTGTCTCCTAAAACCAAAGCAAGAATAGGTCCAGGGAAATGTTCCTGCATTGGAAATGTCCCTCTGTCCCGAGTGGGGGACAGGCTGAGGAAGCAGGGTTACAACAGCTGTCTGCAGGATCTTTTCCCCCAGCAGTCAGTGCTGGTTGGCCCTGGGGATGCAAAATGGAGGATGGGCCAATGAGGAAGCCAAGAGAGGAGGGTGCTGGTGATCATCTTTCCCCCTTTTTATTCAGTGGGGACCTCATCCCAGAGGACAGTAGCACCCCATTGGGAGGGTTCTTCCACCTCAGCTACCCCCCCCCCCCGTCAGTGTGATCTCTTGCTCTGTGCCCTCCTCCTGGGTGATGACTGATGCTAACCACCACAGTCTGCTGTCAGTTTGCGGGTGTCCCCAGTCTGCCATACCTGCCTGGCCGGCACACATGGTTGGGTCTCGTTTGTTACACAAACCAATTATATTTTGGCCAGCCTTTTAATTTTCTTTCATCCAAATGTCTTGTTTGTTTTTCTGCTCACTTGACTCCATTATCAAAAAGACCAGGCCAGTGAGATGACTTAGTGGGTAAAGGCTGTACAAGCCTAAAGACAGATCTCTCTGGAACCCACATAAAGGTGGATGGAGGGAACAGATTCCACAAAGCTGATCTCCACAAGTACACAGTGACACATGCATGTCTATATGCACACCACAAACACACACACACACACACACACACAAACAAACAAAATTTTGAATTAAAAAAATACTTGCTTCTAGAATGCCATGTGGCTCATTGGTGACCTCCAGGTGGAGGGCTGCTTCTGAGTGCTGCTCTACCCTGGAGCCTGGGGAAGGATGTAACACACCCTTCTTCCAAAAACTGCAGTATTTCTAGCTTCAGCTTGCATGAGCAAGGGGGCTAAGGATAACTTTCATAGCTGAGCTTTCCCAAGGGACATCTGCTCAAATTCTGTTCAAACATTCTCTAGCTGGCTCCGTGAGTGTGTTTTAGCTTGGGGGGTGGGGTGTTGTGGAGGTGTCCAGCATCCTATTAGAAGAGAACTGTCCTGTCCAAGGCCTCTGGTGGGAGAAGTCAGTGACTCCTGGGAGCCATCACAACACTGTGCCCTCTGGCCTCTTCCTTGTCTGACTTTTCTCTGAGTGCAGCGACCGGAAGAGCTGGACTGGGGCTGGAGGCTTGTTCATACTATCCTGCTTAGCCAGTCGACAGAGAACACTGGCCAAATCTTTGTGGTTCAGTGGGCCAGCTCTTCCTGTGAGAAAGCCCTTGCCTGGACTCTGGGGAGGCCTCGCTGTGTCTTCTGCTCACTGGGCCTGAGGGCGTGGTGTGTCTCCTGGCCAGCTGCAGTGTATCTGCCCTTCCCTATGCATGACAAAGGGGCCTTCACGTGAGAATCTGTGAGGTGTAAATTTATTCTATTCTTAAGTGTTTTGCAACAGGGCCTCTCACTTGTTAGCCTTGGTATCCGTGTTGTTTTCCTCCTCCAGACCTTCCCTCTGGCTCCCTCTGCCTCTGAGAAGCCAGGGAGGCATGTCCCTACCACACAGAATTGCAAAGGTGTGAGGAAGTCTCTCCAGTCTGGGAAGAAAGAGGACAAGCATCCTAAGCATTGGAGTCAGTGATATGCAGGGCACTTGTCATGCCTGGGGGTTGGGCCTCTGTGATGAGTTCTGCTTCCTCATTCTCTCAGTGGGGGGGGGGGGGGGAGGAGTGTGAGACCATACCTTGGTGTGGCTCCACCTCCATCAACAGGAACTCTTGCAGCATGAAGGGTCCTGCTCTCCCCATGCAGCCACAGATAATTCCTAGGATTGGTTTATCGTGTAGAATCTAGAATGGGCACTCAGTCCAAGAGACAGCAGGAAGGTTCAAAGGCCAATCATTGAGCTTGGATTCCACTCTAAGCCTTAGCTCACTGATACGAGTTCAAGATCATCGGCCTGCTTCCAAGTTGCACTTTGCAAAGGCTTAGTGGCCACAAGCGACTGTACTGGATGAAACTGATAAAAAAACAAAGCAGGGTAGCCCAGCTTAGTGCCCTGAGCATGGGTCTAACCTTGGCTTTCCTAGGCTCTTTAAGTTCCCTGGCCCAGGGCCTGACCTACATGCAGAGGCCCCCTTGTTTGGTAAGCTGGTTCAGATGGTGCCCTTTGAGGTCAAGTACATCAAGAGCTAGAAGAGTCAGATGGGCTGTCGGACCTCCAGAAAGAAGGGACTGGTCTGTACACACATGTTCTTTTTCCTGTTATGATTGGAAAGCATTTTCTGCAAGGGCTAGATAGAAAGGACCTTCTGTCCCTGGCCCGCATCTCCCTCTTCACACGGCCCATCAGTGGGTGGTGTGGACAGGCTCCCATAGAGTGACTGACAAACACAGGCTTTAGGTTGATATCCTCTATACCAGATTATCGCCTATGGGAGAGGGTCCATCATACAGCAGACGCAATACAATACAAAGGGTGCGTGCCTTTAAGTGAATATTCACTTAAAGGAAACCAATGGCTAGAACTATAGTTGTGTGCGTTTACTCAGTAACCCAGCAAGCATCTCCTAGACCCTTAAGGGCGCCTAAGATCATCTACATGACAATTCATAAATGTGGCGAAATTTTAGTTATGAAGTAGCAATGAAAATTCTATGGTTGGTCACCATAAAATGAGGAACTGTGTTAAAGTATGGCAGCCTCAGGAAGGTTGAGAACCGCTGTCCTAGCCCATACCCAAGAGAGCTGCCCGCATGCAGTCGCCAACAGACACGAACCCGGTGCTCACAGGGACTCACACATTAGCTCAGTTTGCCCGTTTTCCTGGCAGTTTGCATTGGGGCAGATTTCAGCTTGGGAGTTTTTTGTAAAAACAACACATGGATTCTGAGATTCAAACTCAGATCCTTGTGTTTGTTTGCAAAGAGAGTATGGAGGTGGCGGTGGTGGTGATCGGGTGGGGGGTAGTAGAGGTGGCGGTGATGATGGTGGTGGTATTGGTGATGATGGTGGTGATGGTGGTGTTGGTGCTTGTTTGATATAGGGTTTGTAGCTCTGACTGGCCTGAAACACAGTGTATAGATCAAGCTGGCCTCAAAATTGCAGGAATCCACCTGCCTCTGCCTCCCAAATTCTGGGACTAAAAGCATGAGGTACCAAGCCACAGCCTAGCACTGTTTTGATTAAAGGCAAACTAGTTTGTCTAGAGAGCGTGTGCCCAGGGACTGCTGTCTCCAGCTGATGCCCACCCCAGTGCCCACACGGTTCACACCCTGGCCCTGTGAGGGCTGTGTGCACTCCGATGTCACCCCTCCTCTGGTCTCTGCAGAACATTGTTGCTGTGGGAGCCGGCTTCTGCGATGGCCTCCGCTGTGGGGACAACACCAAGGCAGCCGTCATCCGCCTGGGACTCATGGAAATGATCGCTTTCGCCAAGATCTTTTGTAAGGGCCAGGTGTCCACGGCCACCTTCCTGGAGAGCTGCGGGGTAGCTGACCTCATCACCACCTGCTACGGAGGGAGGAACAGGAAGGTGGCAGAGGCCTTCGCCAGGACCGGGAAGGTACCCTGAACCCCGCTCTACCTGATACTGAGGCCCTCTTCAGCCGAGCCCCCCAGACTGGGTGAAGTGCGGCCTGTCCCCACAGAGACTTCCCTCGACGGCACTGCTTGTCTGCCCTGGCCCTGTTCACCTGCCTGCTCTGACCCTTAAATGCCCTCATCTTTTCTTTCCTTTAATTTTTTTTTAAGTTAGTATATAAAGTAACAAGTGTGGTGGTGGCATTTTCATAATCCTTAGTTTAGGTTGGGCCCCCCCCCAACCGCCTCCTCCCAGCTTCCCTCTCCCGACCCCATCCCTGAGTGTGTCCCTCTACTGCCAGAGCTCTCCCGGTCTTTTTCATGTCACACGTGTTCTGTTAGTTACCCTGCCCGAGCCCACACAGTCCCTCTCCCAACTTCGCGGGGCTTCTTCCTAGTCTCCTGGCCTCTGCCCACACCCAGCCCAACGCCAGTGTACAGACATAAACACTAGAAGCTAGGAGCCTGGGGATAAGGCTCAGCCACACAAACATGAGGACCTCACATTGGCTCACCGGTACCCACATAAAAAGCGGGTGTAGCCACGTGACCCTGTCATGTCAGTGCTGAGGGTGAGGGCAGAGGCTGCTGGCTGCCGAGGCTTACAGGTCAGCAAGCCCAGCTAAGGTGCTGAGCTTCAGGGAGGAAGGCGGACAGGGACTGACATGACAGCCTCTGGCCTCTACATGCATGCACGCACAGGGGCATGGACACACAAGTATACACGCACACGCACACCTGCACACAGGCAAGAGAACATGCAGTAAGTAGTAGATGCCTTTCTGAGCCCGGGTGAGTTCACTTCATGTGACATTTTCCAGTCACACTTAACCTGCAGATTTCATGGTTCCATCTTTCCTTATGGCATGTCCTTACCCTTTCCTCGACTAGAAGCAGGACATCTCAGCTCTCCTCCCCACCTCTCTGGAAAGACACAATGCTCAAGTGGACCGTGTCTTTGTCCTTTGCTCCTCAGACCATTGAAGAACTGGAGAAGGGGATGCTCAATGGGCAGAAGCTCCAGGGACCGCAGACCTCCGCTGAGGTGTACCGCATCCTCAAGCAGAAGGGGCTGCTCGACAAGTGAGTTCCTGATGTCTGGGTTGCTGGTTCCCTGGACAGTCGAAGAGGTTGGGTGAGCGAGCCGCTTGGACCTGACTGGGTCTGTTTTATGTGATGTGGGCATCTGTGGTGGGAAATAGCTACTACACACACAAAACCAATTTCCACTTCATTGAGAAGAGCGTAATCCTATAGATAAGGCATGGTATAGAATATGAAATTTTAGTTAATTGTGCCCAACATTTCTGCATGTGACATGACATTTTCATCTATAAGGTTCACACTTGAAAGCCCTGCAGTTGAGTGACAACAAAAAATAGCAACAAACAAACAAAAGTCTCAATGTTTTTAAGTCAGTATGTGTCACCACACCTGGGTGTTTTGGTTTTATGAAGGGACATAGGATGAGTTCATGCCTGAAACTTCAGCATTGGGGAGGCTGAGGCAGGAAGATTGCCACAAGTTTGAGGCTAGCTTAAGCTACAAAGGGACTTTAAAGTCAGCCTTAACTACAAAGTAAGACTGAATTTAAAGGGAAGGAATGAGCTGGGCCTAGTACTGAATGCCTCTAGCCTTGGCACTCAGCAGACTAAGGCAGGAGGGTCAGGAGTGTTTGAGGCTAGCCTAAGAGAAGAGAAAAGTCACTTTGGCTCATAGTTTCAAAGGTCTCAGCCCACGGACCCCAGCCCCATTGCTTTGGGCTTATGATGATGCAGTGCATCCCTGCATCCCTGCAGGTGCAGTAAATCATCCCTGCAGTGCAGTACAGCATCCCTGCAGAGTCAGGAAGGTTCCCAGTATCCCATTCAAGGAACCTGCCCCCTAGTGACCTCACTTCCTCCCCTCAGGTCTTATGTCCCAAGGTTCTAGCACCTCCCCAAAGTGCTAAAGAGTAGGGACCAATCACTCAAAGCATGGAGGGGTACACTCAGGTACCAGACCACAGTGGCATGTACCATTAACCAGCCCTAATTCTAGAGAGGGGAGATGTAGCTGCCAGAGCTTGGAGGGAGGCAGATGGTTACAATGACTGCCAGCCAATGCTACTCTACTATATATATGCCCTTCACTCAGGAAATGGCACAAGATCATATTTCATACAAAACACGGACCAGGCATGGTGGCTCACACCTTTAATGCCAGCCAGCATTCAGGAAGGCAGAGGCAAGAAGATCTCTTGAGTTTGAGGCCAGCCTGCTCTACATAATGAGACTGCATAATGAGACCTGTCTTAAACAAACAAACCAAAGTTTCTGAAGCCAACCGCCAAAGTTATCTTCTGACCTCTGTGCATGCATGCATGCACATTGCGCGCACACACTCACACACACACACACTTATGTAAGTACCTACCTGCAGGTACATGTTGTGTGGTGTCCACAAGATACTGCTCAGACGCCAGTTTAGGCTAATAGGAGTCTTTATTAGCCAGCTGGTGACTGTGTTGGGTATTAAGGATCCCAGGGAGACACTGGGCCTTTCTCGGGGGTGAGTTTTTAAGCACAAAAAACGGTGTCCTGGGTTGACACACCTTGGTTAGCCAGAATCACAACTACAGGAGCCAAAAAGCAAGGTTAGCACATCTAGGGGCTTTCCCGGAACCGTGGGCCGTGATAGATTAGGCCTTTGTTCTCCTGTTGGCAGGGAATGCTGCCTGTGTGTTGGTTTCTAGGCAACACATAGAATTGTACCTGGGGGGAGGGGGTCTGTTATATCATGAGCATGTGCCCATGCACTCATATAACACACACACGCACAGGCATGCATGCATGCATGCATGCATGCACACGAACCCACTCCAAAGAGGCAAGGTGTGCAATCTAACATGCCGTCCCCTTTGTACCCCTCCAGGTTTCCACTCTTCACAGCAGTGTATCAGATCTGCTATGAAGGCAGGCCTGTCACAGAGATGCTGTCCTGCCTGCAGAGCCACCCAGAGCACATCTGAAGGCAACTGGGCAGCCAACAGGGAACTGCCTTGCCTATTGTGGGGTCATCCAGAAAACCAAGGCTTGGCAGTGAGATCTCTGCTGAGCTGTACTCTAACCCTGAACACATACGACTTGTTACAGCGCTGGTCCTGTGCTGGGAGAGGCACTTCACCGGCTGGGATGGAGAGAGAGAGAGAGAGAGAGAGAGAGTGTGTGTGTGTGTGTGTGTGTGTGTGCGCGCGCGTGTGCGTGCGCGTGCATGCGTGTGTGTGTGTGTGTGTGTGCGTGCGCGCGCACACACATGCACATGCGCTTGTGGGGCCGTTTGAGTGTTCTTGAGTGTGTGTGTGCTCCTTTCTCGTTCTCTGGGTCTGAACCCAAATCAGGTGTCTGTTTTAATGATCACATTCAAAATCTCCCCGCCAGGGCAGATTGGAACTAACTCAGCTAAATTTTATGAATTTTATGGGTGTGACTCATTTATATGTGAGTGGAGGAAGGAATCGTTTTGTTTTTTTCTCTGATACAGTTATCTAGCAAACTCTTTGGATTGTGGCTTGGGCGATTAACAATCGGGTGTTTTAATTAGATATGCACTGACATGCTTCTTCATGATAAAGATGCCTCTTTCCTCTTCACTAGCTGCCAGGATGGGCTTTTGTGCGCGCGCGCGCGCGCACACACACACACACACACACACACGCACACAGAGCAGTGGCAGAGGAAGGGACATCCCTGCAGTGGCTGACATATCCTTCTGGGGAATATGTCTTTTTGTTGGGTGTTTTTTTTTCTGTACCTGTGTCTCTTCAGGCTTATGGAACCCTGAAAGAGACCACTGTCACGACTCACGTAAGAAGCCATAGTTGTCCCTGGTCACCCAGGGACATGGACAGGAGCCTAGTACACATTCCTCTATCCCTCTGTCACTGGGCCTCTTTGACCTCTAGCTGACTGTGGGAATGTTACCTGCAGCCTTCCCTGAGGCCACAGAAAGGCTTCCTGCCATGGGGATTTGTGGAGCAAAGAGTCTTGAGGAAGGTCACCACTGCAAGTGATGTCCCCAACCCAGCAGGGTCACTGTACTCTTAAGAAAGTGTTCCCAGGACTCAAGAATGGCCCGTGTTTCCACACGCCTCCCTCATGTTTCTGATGCCCACTACAATTTGAGAGCCACCACACTGGAGAATCTGCTCTAGCATGGCCTTCAATGAACAGTGTTCTGTAGGAGGCACATGTCTGGCTATTCCGGGTGGCCCCTGGAATGGCCAAGTGAGTTTAAAACAAGCCGCCTGTGCGCACTTTCCTAGGGGTAGCCTGGGTGCTAGCACCTGCATAGACCCAACTAAGCTAACAAGTTCCCAACCCTTAGGACAGACTATTAGCCCAAATGTCTAGAGAAGACTGCCATAGAGTGGTGTGACCCTCACTCCCCGCAGGAAATTAGGAGAGCTAACTACCTGTGAGTTTATTCTATGAAACCTGGGCTGGCCTCGAACTTGTCAACTTCTTGCCTCTGTCCCCTGAGTAGCTGGAATTGCAGTTTTGAGAGAGCTTTCAGGTGACGGGGTCGAGTCCAGATAAGGTGATGTCAGCCTCGCTGAAACGCACACTATATGAAGTGAGTGCTTTGGAGTCTGGCGTTCGACTGTGAATGAGTGTATCTCTATTTAAAAACCACCAGCCCATGGGTGTGGACGTGTGATTGTCACCCAGTCAAGTATTTCTAGCTTCGGGGGATTTTCCACTTCCTCTCATCCTGGGCTGGGTGTTCCCCACCCCCCCCCCACTGAAATAATTGTAAAAATAAGTTTTTATGGGAATTTTTAAACTCTCCCGAAAGACTTTTGGAGCATTGTGGAAGCCCGTCCCTAAAAGTCTACAGAAGCGCACAGCTGAAGTTTTCAGTTTTCACAATGATGTTGTCAGTCGATTCTTTTCTTGTCTCCCAATGAATCTTTTTAAAAATTTGTACATAGGTAACGAAGAGTTACTTTTTAAGAGATCCAAAGGGCTGCAAGCTACTGTGCTGTCTACAGAGTAGGGTAATGAGGAGCTGTTACCATCCTGTGTCCCTCATTTACGTCCTCCCTGACATTCACATCCTCTCTAAGCCCTGTACCTCCTCCTCCCTTCCCCTCATGAATGCCCCTTACTGACCTGATGTCAGTTGACGTGCTTATAATCCACACATGATGGGAACAGGTAAATTCCTTAAGTCTGTGCTCTGACAGCCAGAAGCATCACTCTGTGAGTTATGTATTTTTGTAACCACCTGCTGATTGATGCTTCTTGCGAGCTGTGGCAATAGGAACAGAGACGCCCAGATGAGATACTTAATCTGTGAATGTAAAACTAACCTATTGCCTTGCTACTCTCCTCCTCACCACAGTTCTGGACAAATCAGTGAGTCTAGCCTCCTGGTGTTTTAACAGCTGGCCTCCAGAGGGCACTGTGGTGAGAGAGCAGTGTCCTAACAATTGCTTCTCCGCCAGTTCTGCTGGGCTAGCTTCTTATTCCGTTTGTACTGTATATGTACTTCTATGGACTGTAGATGGGTGTATAATTTGAAGGCTTGGTTTAATAAACACCACCTCTTGAACCTGTACCGTGGAGCCTATTTTTCTTTTTGTTTTTATAAATGACTTTATTATTGCTTCTTACTCTAGCGCAGGTCTCCTCACACCTGCCAGCAAGAACTGTGCCCCCCCCCAGCCACCTCGTTAGCTCACTCCTGTTTCAAAGTCAGCTTGCTCTTGACTTGTTACATACCATTTATATTTTCTATTACAAATGATACATATGCACAAAGTATATGACAATAATATAGCACTTACATTAAATATTATGTCAAATACATATTCTTTGTATATTTGGTTTCTCTTGTAGCTTGCATGTTCTGCCAACATCGGTCAGTAATCTTAAACAGCTTTATTAAGATACAGTTCACGGTGGGTGGTGGTGGTGCACGCTTTGAATCCCAGCACTCGGGAGGCAGGGGCAGGTGGATCTCTGAATTGGAGATCAGCCTGGTCTACAAGAACTAGTTCCAGGACAGTCTCCAAAAAGCCACAGAGAAACCCTGTCTCAAAAACAAAACAAAACAAAAAAAGATACAGTTCACATATACAATCCAGGAATTACTAGTACCTCTCTTCCTTAGGGTTATTATTGCTGTGATGAAACACCATGACCAAAGCAAGTTAGGGAGGAAAGGGTTTATTCAGCATATACTTCTCAATCAGTTAATCATCAAAGGAAATCAGAATAGGAACTCAAACAGGGCAGGAACCTGGAGGCAGGAGCTGATGCAGAGGCCATGGAGGGGGCAGCTTACTGGCTTGCTCCCCATGGCTTGCTCAGCCCAATTTCTTATAGAACCCAGGACTACCTGTCCAGGGATGGCACCCACCATCAATCACCAATTGAAGATACCCTATAGGCTGGCCTACAGCTTGATTTGTGGTTTTGTTGGGGGGGGGGTTGAGACAGGGTTTCCTCAGTGAAACCCTGGATGGCCTGGGACTCACTCCATAGACCAAGCTGGCTTCAGACTCAGAGAGATGTATGCCGCCACCACCCAGCATGCAGCCGGATCTTATGGAGGCATCTTCTCAGCTGAGGCTCCGTCCTCACCAATGGCTCCAGTGTTGGTCAAGTTGACATAAATGTAGCCAGCACAGTACTGTTTTAAAACACTTTTACAACCTCGGAAGTGACATCATCCCTTTAAGTACCCATTCATCAGTTTCAGCAGTATCTATAAAAAATGTAAATGAAATTGTAATTTTTTTTGGCAGGGTCTCACTATGTAGCCATATTTGGCCTAGAGCTTGTTATCTAGACCAGGAGGGCCTCGTGGAGATCCTCCTGCCTCTGCCTCTGCCTCCTGAGTGCTGGGATTAAAGTCGTGTGCCACCACAACCTGCAAAACTGGATTTTGCCCCTGGTGGTGTTGCATGTACCTAGTGCATGCTAGACTAATACTACCACTGGGTTAACTATCCAAGCCTCCCCCTCCCTCCCTCCCACCCCCAGTTTTTTTCAACTTACTATCTGAGATGGACTCACTAAGTTACCAAACTGGCCGTAGCCTTTAGATCCTGCCTCAGCCTTCTGTGTTGCTGGGGTTACAGACCCATAAACTTTTGTTTCAAGACAGAATCTCACTCTGTAGCCCAGGCTAACCTCAAATTCATGACGTGGGAAGCACAAAGGAAACCCTGGGTGAATAAGTCCTGAGTGGAATGTATGCTATCCATATGAATTGACTATGTCAAGGATCCCGGTTCTCATATCCATGGGAAAATGGCAAAACCTTCCCTTTCTGCCCATGTGCAGAAAATGTCCCCATAGCTGTCTACTGATGCTGACAGCCCAAGATGCTTGCTACCTTACAGGGATTGTCCCTATTGTGTTTATGTTGTAGACTATTAGTTAAAGATGTGTTACATTGGTTTATGCTGTGGAACATTTGTTTAATGATACAAAGATGTATTGCATTCTTTCATGTTGCATTTGTTTAACTCTGTGAAGCTGTGCTACTTTGCCTGCCTACAACACCTGATTGGTCTAATAAAGAGCTGAACCCGTCAATAGTGAGGCAGGAGAAAGGACAGGCAGGGCTGGCAGGCAGAGAGAATAAACAGAAGAAATCCAGGAAGAGAGATTGAGGAGCAAGAAAAGGAAGGAAGTACATCAGGGGTCAGCCACTAAGCTATACAGCTAGATACACAGTAAGTAAGAAATAAGGTATTTAGAAATAGACAAAGATAAAAGCCCCCGAGGTATAAAATGAATAAAATATTTATAAAAAGAGAAAAAGGCAAAAGGTAGATGGAATAATTTAAGAAAAGCTGGTTACAAACAAGCCAAGCTAAGGCCAGCATTTATAAGGAAAGATAAGCCCACATGTGTTTATTTGGGAGCTGGGTGATAGGCCCCCAAAGAACCAAAGAGTAGAAAACAATAAGTAACTACTGGGATTAGCTAAACCTAACTCCTTGTTCGACTATATATAGTAACCCTACTTCCTTGCTATGTGTAATAACCCTGCCTCCTTGTTCACTGTGTGCAAAGACCCCACCTCTCTGTTCAACTCCATATAATGAACACAGAGCTTCTGGGCTGCTGAGCTCCGTCTACTAAACTCCCAGCTATTTCTTGGTGTCCATCTGTCTGTCTTTTCTTCATTCTCTTGCTCCCAGCCAGATCATCCCTGGAACCACGCTGAATATGGCAAATATCCTCCTGCCTCAGCCTCTGTAAGTGCTGGCATCACAGGCAATAATCATCGCACCCACCTAGAAAAACCCTGTTTTGACCCCAGAGATCAAAAAGCTTTGAGCTATGCTCTACCGCTGAGGCCCCGTCCCTTCCAATCCCCAGAACTATAGAAGTCAACCTGAGACCGCTCCTGCCATCCTGACGCTTCCTGTCCAGGCCTGTGCGGCACAGACTGCTACAAATGCTCACTCCTGGGGCAAGGTGGCCACTGGCCTCTAAGACATCTCCAGCTCAGTCCACTTGGAAGACCTGGTCTCTAGCCCCATTCTCACACTGCTCCATACGGAAGTCACCTAGGGGTATTTGTGAACAGGGTCAGCAGTCAACATCTTACTCTTTTCTGTTGCAAGCTAGGGGAGAAAGGCTTAATTTCAGTTCACAGTTCCAGATTACAGTCCATTACAGCAGGGAAGTTACAGTGACGGAAACTTGAGAAAACTGGTCACATCATATGCGCAGTCAAGAGCAGAGAGAAATGAATCAATGCACACATGCCTGTTCTCAGCTGACTTCCTCCCCTATTAACACAGTTCAGGATCCCCTGCCTAGGGAATGGCTCCACCCATGGTGGGCAAGTCTCCCTGCCTCAATAATCTTCTACAGACATGTCCACAAACTAACCTGATCAATTCCTCACTGAGAGTCCCTCCTCATTTGATTCTAGACTGTCAAATCGACAAAGGAAACTAAATATCAGTGGTGGTGCACGCCTTTAATCCCAGCACTTGGGAGGCAGAGGCAGGTGGATCTCTAAGTTCCAGGCCAGCCTGGTCTACAGAGTGAGTTCCAGGACAGCCAGGGAAACCGTGTCTTTAAAAAACAGAGAAACCGTGTCTTTAAAAAAGACAAACAAACAAAACCTAATAATCACAGCAATCTTCAGAGGTTTCAGGTTCCCTGGTATAGCATGGATTCCAGCTCAGCCCGTCTTCAAGTCTCCTCCAGGTAAATATTACCGAACAGTCAGGTCGAGGAGCTCCTGAGACAAACTTCTCAAGGAAGCTCAACAATTTTTCTGTGAACCACTTTAACTTAAGAATATTTAGCCTTCGTGTGTTAAGCAACTGGGCCTGGGATTTGTTTATCAAAGCTAACCATCCAAGCAGGGTGTGGGACATTCCAGTAATCCCCAAATTCGGGGAAACCAAAGCAAAGGGATCGCTGCAAATTTGAGGTCAACCTGGGCTACACATAGCTCAATACTGTCTCAAAAATACAGTACAAGCTGAGGGTGTTGCTCACTTGGTAGAGTGCTTGCTTGGCACTTCTGGATTTGATCCCCAGAATTACAAAAACCAGACATGTTGGGTGGTGCATGCCTCTAATCCTGCCAAGACGGACAGAAGTTCAAGGTCAAGGAGAAAGACTGATGGTGGGTATGAGCACTTGCTGGCCTGAGTTTAATTCCCAGAACCCACCTACTCCCCAAAGTTGTCCTTGGACCCCCCACAGGCATTTTGTGACATGCATGCATGAACACATACAGACAATATGTAAATAAAAGTTTATCCTTGGCTACATAGCGAGCTCAGGGCCAGCCTGGGCTGTGACCCTGTCTCAAAACATAAGCAAAAGCAAAACGCCTGACTGGCTCTTGGAGAAGAGTCCACATGTCCTTTACTGAGGAACCAGAGCATGGTATTCATTTTCTACCACCTCACCTTGACCTCTGTTGGTGAATGGGTGCTTGGAATTCTGCTGACAAAGGTTTTCCTAAGAAAATACAGGTGGGGTCTTGGAAGGGCAGCTTGCCAGAGACATGCTAGCTATTTTTGCTGCTGTTCATTGGTTCACTAATGTGCTCTGTGGGGCATGGCTACTGCCTTTCGCAGTGTTTACCCAAAACACCTTCCTTGCTCCTGCCAATAGATCGCACAGTGAGGACAAGCATCTTGGGCAGACACCACAGTTTGTCTCTTTAAATAAAGCAAAACCTCATCTTATCTCCACTAAAAGGAGTGGAGCTACACCTGTCAATGCACTTCCCTTCTGTTGCCAGATTCTTCTCTAGGGGTGGGGGGAGGGCTGGGGCGTGTGTGTGTGTGTGTGTGTGTGTGTGTGTGTGTGTGTGTGTGTGTGTGTGTGACTCAGTAAGCGTTGGTCTTTCTCGGATAAAAGCAATGCGTTTATCAGGCTTACTTTCAGAGCAGTGGCTGAGGGCGACGAGTAGGAATGTGGGTGATCACCCCCGGTGGCTGTGCAGATGGAGCCCTTCCCCTGGCTCTCCCCTGCCTGCATACTTCAGGCCCTCCCCGAGACCCCGAGGTGTGCACGACGAGGGCGGATTTACACACAACTGGATGGGAGGAATGTCTGAATACT